TGGTGTCCAAGCCGACCTCCTGCGGTTGGTGCCGCAGCCCCCTTGGTCCCTAGGATACCCGGTTCAGTGGCCCCATTCCTCCTCTGTGGCACAGATCTGGGCTGGAAGCGCTTCCCAAACCCCAGCACCCATCTGGGGTGCGTAGGCGTCATGTGCAGACCCAGGACCCTCATCCCAGGCCTCCGCAGGATGGCACAGCGGGGTCAAGCCCGGCTCTGGGGAACAGCAGCTCAAGCCAGGGGGAAGCTGGAGGATCCCCCCTTCCACAGGCATCCTCCATGTCCCACAGAGCTCAGCCCAACACCAACAACTTTTAAAGACAGCTGCCTCCCCCTGCCCTCGCTGGGGGGTTTTGGGGAGTATTGGCCCCTCGGTTCCCTGCATCCCCCCTTACCTTTCTTCTCAATAGCTTCCACCAGCTTTGCCAGCAGCGGCGGGGCAATCTCTGGAGGGCTGAACTGCTCCTGCAAGTCCGGGAGAGGAGACCCTGGGAGAGAGGGAGGGAGAGGAAGGGGTCAGCCCCGGCTAAGCCCCCAGCAGATGTTCTGCAGCGGTACCAGGCCACGGCACAACCAACACTGCTCCCAACGGCAGCGTCCGAGAGCCAGGAAAGCCGTGGGTTTGCCAGCAGCGGCGGGGCAATCTCTGGAGGGCTGAACTGCTCCTGCAAGTCCGGGAGAGGAGACCCTGGGAGAGAGGGAGGGAGAGGAAGGGGTCAGCCCCGGCTAAGCCCCCAGCAGATGTTCTGCAGCGGTACCAGGCCACGGCACAACCAACACTGCTCCCAACGGCAGCGTCCGAGAGCCAGGAAAGCCGTGGGCCCGGCAGCACTTGTTGAGCCTGGTTTTGTTTGCACCCAGCAATGGGGTGCGCATAGGGGGGTCCCCACTGCTCCCTGCGGAGGTTGGGAGGCAGAGCGAGCCTCCCTGGGGACCCCGGCACCCCAGGCAGGCAGTGCAGGCGTTACCGGGGCTCCCGGAGCTCAGGCCGGGTTCGGTCTCTGCCCAAGCACAGGGGCTGGCGGAGGAGTTCGGCCAGGGAGCTCGTTCTCCGTGGTGAGCTGTGATTAATCCAGCGATTCAGACAGAACGCCATGTCAGCAAATTCCTGCCCTTGATTGCTCGTTTAACATGGAAACCAGCCCTCTGCCTCCCCCTCCCCGCCAGCCCACAGCCTCCGTGCAAGCTGCTACAGGGTGCGGGCAGCCCGTGGCACAGGACGGGGGATCCCCCCCTTTCCGGAGGCATCTACCGCCCCACATCAG